TGCCCCCCGATTTCTCCCTGAGCTCCCCCAGTGCCACCAAGGAGGATTCGCCAGGAAAGCGAAGGAAGAGGAGTCAGAGGCAAGTGAAAAACGACCCAATTTAATCCCAAAGCCCCCCCACTCCCCCACTGCCCAGCACCAGGGATTCAGGAGCACCCCAGTCCCATCCCCTCCCCGGGCTGGGCACCCTGTGGGGCACCCCCAGGAGCACCCCAAGGAGCTTTCCGAGGCGTCCAGCCCCTTCCTCAGCTCCACTGGCAGCTCCACACCAGTGCCTGGCCCCCAACCCCATCCCACCAACCCCTCCGTCCCACCCACAGCCCTCAAGAAGCCCTGATGAAGACCATCCTGGTGGAGTAGACGAGGTCCACCGTGTAGGCGACGAGGTTGAAGATGGTGAGGAAGGTGACCCCCAGGTGCTTGTTCCACCAGCAGTTCCTGTCGCAGGGGTCGGGGCGGCTCTTCCCGTTGAAGCTGTAGAGGGGCCAGAGGATGGTGGCAGTGATGTACATCAGCAGGGCCAGGGCGTTGTAGCCCACCAGCAGCTTCTCCAGAGGGCAAGGGATGTAGGTGAGGCACCGGCCGATGGTGGAGATGATGATGAGGAAGGTGATGATGAAGCAGATGGAGTAGACGGCCACGCACCACTGCAGGGCAGCTCCCGAAACGTGGTTATCCAGCAAGGAGAAGATGAGACAGGCCACGTAGGCTTCAAAGACCTTGAGGAGCCCGGGCACGGTGGAGAGGAAGCTGCTGATGTCCCCCGGCTTGGCACGGGTGAGCCCCACCTCAAAGGCAGAGAAGAGGAAGCAGAGGAAGGAGGCAGTGGTGGCCACGGCCTGCCGGGCACACTCGTTGCTGCTGCAGGGGCTGCTGATGAAGGTGGCAGGGAAGACCACCGAGCTGGTGAAGACCATCAGCGTCGCCAGCATGGAGAAAGCCGAGGTGAAGTCGTCCCAGGAGAGGGGCAGCTTGGGGTAGAGCTCCAGCAGCTCGAGCAGCAGCACCAGCAGCGTCACGGCGAAGCAGAAGCACCACGTGAACATGCACCAGGTCCCGTAGGAGTTCCCGAAGTTCCGGGTGGAGGCCACCAAGCTGAAGGCCACGCAGGACAGGACCACGGCCATGAGCCGGGCGATGCCCACCCAGGAGGTGAGGGCACGGAGGCTCACGGTGGCCATGGTGGGTGGGTGGTTGCTGGGCGGTTGGGGT